TACCTTTTCTATGTTTAGATACATAAATACTTGTCATTATGTTTTAATTGTATTCAATACAGTAACATGCTGCACCCGTTTGTAGCCCAAGAGCAATAGGCTATACCATACAGCCTAGGTGTGTAGTAGACTATACCATCTAGGTTTGTGTAAGCACATTCTGTGATGTTTGCACAATGATGAAATTGTCTAATGATACATTTCTCAGAATGTGTCCCTGTCATTAAGCAATGCAGGGCTATATATGTATGTATGAATAAGTATACTGTAAAATATATATAGTCCACCCATAAATTCCATTTGCATTTTAATACATTCACTTCTACATGAGATTTGTTATATACCACAGAGAGGGAAGTTCTCCAAGATTTATATAAAATTGCTAATTATTCCTTTGCTTTATTTTTTTCCCTTTTAGTTTCTAGATACATCCAAAATGATGATGGAGAGACTGAAGTTGATATTTTTGCAATTAAATATTTTAAATTCTGCTGCGTTTTGAAGATTATATATTATATAAAAGTGACTTTATTAAAATTTAAATAGCACAAAGATAGAGAGAGGGAGAGAGACACAGGTAATTAGAATGGTCTTACCCCAAAATATTGATTGTAGTTACCTCTGAGGGACGGAATTCAGTGAATGCTTTTTCATGTTTGTTTTCCTTTTTGTGTATCTTTTGAGCTTTCGGCTGTGATAGGCAGAATTCTAAGATAGCTCCCGAGATTCCAGCCCCTTATATGTAGGGAGCCTGTGTGAAGCCCTCCCTCCAAGTGTGGGTGGGCTTTGGGAATATGATGGCTTAGCCACTGCGTTGATTAGGGCACCTCATATGACAAAGGTGATGGCTAGTGACTCCCTCTGTTAACTTAGGTTATATGAGACTCCCTATTAGGCAACTGGAGAGGAAGATTCTCCTGCTGACTGAAGGAGGAGCTCCTGTAGGAGGGCTTGGGAGAGCGCGGAACTGCAGGGAACTCTCAGAGCTGACAGCAGCCCCAGCTGACAGCCAGCCAGAAGTCAGGGACCGGATCAGTGCGTTTTGAGCCACTAAGTTTGTGGTAATTTGTTACGCAGCAATGAAGATTGATACATCAACTAATCATTTTGTTTTTAAAATAAGAGACACAATAAAAATTTATTTTAAACCACTGCCTGTTGTTTATGTAACAAAGCTATGCTTTTCAGTGTGCCTTGGGGTGGGGTGGGGTCACATCCGTTCCACGGACTACAATCTGCTCCCCGGGTACCACAGTCCCCCTCAGCCACAGTTTCACTTTCCAAAATTTCAGTTACTCACGGTACAGTACAAGATATTTCGAGAGAAATACCACATTTGCATAATTTTTATTACAGTATATTGTTATAATTGTTCTATTTTGTTATTGGTAATCTCATACTGTGCCTAATTTATAAATTAAATTTTATCATAGGTATGTATATATAGGAAAGAATATAGTGTATACATAGGGTTTGGTGCTATCTGTGGTTTCAGGCATCCACAGGGGGTCTTGGAAGCATCACTTGGAATGGGGGCGGGGATAGACCGCGCTTCCCATCTTCCTTTCCTAACAGCAGCACGGGCACCTAGTGGTCCCTTTACCTTCTCCCTCACCTCCCTTCGGTGGCCTGAGGATTCCACCCTGGAAATGAGTTCCCTCGTCTCCATTCCCATCGCCAGGCTGCCTAGCCGCGCTCTGCCTCTGCTGTCTCCGTGCGCCTACAGCCCAGTCAGGCCCCCAAACACCCCCATTTTCCCTGCTTAGAAATCGCCAGAGGCGCTCTACTCCTGAAGGACTCATGTCCAGGGCCCTGATTTGGTCCCAACTCTTCTCTTCAGCCTTGACCCTCACTGGTCTCCTGCACCTCACCTCCGGGCACTCTTGATGGCGGTGCCTTTTCTGAGCATGACATCATGCTGTCACACCTTTGTTCAGGGTGCTCCAAATCTTCCTATTCCTGCCTATGAAAATCCCTCCATCCCCAGCTCAAATGTCACTTGCTCCACCATACTCTCTGAATCCTCAGGGGAGACCTAGTGTGTTTGCCCCCTGTGCCCCACCGTGCATGCTGTGACACCTACAAGACAGCCCTCCCCACGCTGCCTTCATTAGGAGGCTCCTGGGGAAACAGGCTGGCCTGAACGAGCCCATGTGCCCACTGCCTGGCATGGGGCACCTCACATTGCTCACACCCCCACCCGGCACAAGGCAAGTGCTCCATGGATGCTGGTCCACTCTGCCCCTAAGATCCCCCATGTCCATGTGACCACTTCCGTATTCCCACACACCCAGCCCTCAAACTGCAGGAAGTCAGAGGTGAAGCACTCACCCTGAGCTGGGCTGCTGGACTTAGCAACATCCCGGTCCTTCCTCCGGCTCCAGGGACCCCAGGAAAAGCAGGCCAGCAGTCCTGGAAGGCCCGGTCCTTCCGCTAGAAAGAATACAAAACCCAGAGGCAGAAGGTCAGATGGTTCCTGCTTCACAAACTGAGATTTTGTTTAGCAAACCAAGAGCCTCAACTGTCAACTGCCCTAGTTTCAATTGTCTGATTAAAAAAACAAAGGTTCTGATTTGCGAAAGTGGGTGGGTTTTTGTACTTTAAAAAAGAACTAAAAAATGATTGCTCTATCTAAGTTATCTCATTTCATCCTCACAAAGCCCAGTGATGTAGGTACCATGTTGGGGAAATTACAGTAACAAAAATAACATGAAATTCATTACAATTTCATAGCACCAAAGAAAATACTCAAGAAGCTGTACTTTCCCTGAGTTTTAGTTAAAACTATTCCTTAAAAGGAATAGATTTAATTTTTCTTGATAATAACATAGTCACCAGGAACTAAGTTAAAAAAAAAAGACTCCAGGCAGCCAAAACAAGGAAAATCCTTGTTCATAATCTTTACTCAGGGTCTGTTTGCTTTTTTTCTCACGAAAAATTTTGGAGGTGCAAGCGTTTTTTGTTAGTTGAATTGCATCATGCTGATGTCAGGGCTTTCAGTGTACCTGTCACCAGAATGGTGTACATTGTACACGACAGATAGATCTATTTACTCTTAAGCTGCATCATCCAGTTTTAACAAGACTGGATCCTTAGTATTTCAGCCCAAGGCAGCTGGATTAGGCAACATAAACTGGGTAAAAGGGCACTGCCAAAAGGCAAGCAACCTAAAAGAATAAGAATTATCACCGGGCAGTGAGGAAAGAGGTCAGAAAACTTTTAAAAACCAGACGCAACTGCTAGCAAAACCTTAGTGACAAATCCATTTGGCGGAAGGGTAATTAGCACTGCCCGTTGCAAAAGCTACGAGGAAATTGGTGAGCAGTGAGTTGTAATTACACCCATACCCTTTAGTCAGTAATGAAACGTTTTATTTTTGTTCAGTGTTTTCATGAAAGTAGGAAAGAGTTTACTACCCTAGAGTAAAACACCCTTGCAAACTAAGCATTAAATTTCAAAAGTGTTAGTGTTTATTTAAAAGGAAGCAAGGATTCATTCACCCATTCTGCATTCCAGGCAGGGTGTCAGGAAATGGGAATGCAATCGTGGTTAAACTCACAAGTGACAAAATCATGTGGTAAGAGCTTAAGGAGCAGCAGGGCAAAGAGTTCTCAGGTTTCATTAGCAAACTAACAAACTGGAGCTGGGAGGGTCAGGGAAGCCTTCCTGCAGGAGGAAGTCCAGTTCTGAATGGCAAGATGGGGCTGGTCAGGTGAAGAGGAGGGGAGAAAAAGGCTTTTCAGGCTCAGGCAACAGCTTGGGCAGGGCAAGCCAGGCTCTGGGGAATTGAAGGCTGTTCCTGGGAATGGGGGAGGGCTAAGAGACTAAGGCTGAGAGTCTTTTGGGCACCAGCTCATTAAGGTGCAGAAAATTTGTGTGAATTCCTTTCTTTGCGGGGTGGGGAGGCAGGCGCGCAGGTCATTGAAGGGCAGGCACTGCAATGTGAAATCTGAACAGCAGTCCAGCTCAGGATATTTCCCTGGTCTTTCTCTTTCAGGATGCTGGTCATTGAATTTAAAATGTATCCTCACAGCTTCAACGAAAAAGCGCTTGTGCCCAGAGGGGGTAAGGTTAGGGCAGGCTCTGCAGCTGACGGTCTCAGGTAGGCCAGGCTGGCAGGTTAAAGTATGACACTGGTAACATGGCAGGTCTCCTGGCTGGCAAAGACCCCACTCTTCGCCATGTCTGGCATCTCCCAGTTGCTGGCTTACACACCAATACTGGGAGGCACCACACAGCCACTGTCTGCATTAACTCCGTAACAGTCAGAGGCTGCAGGATTTGGAGGGTTGCTCAGCTGGGCGGGCAGAGGGAGCTGGGAAACGCAAAGATCTCCCCAGCCAGATCCAGCTATACCGAATGTGCATATTTTAATTCTAGAACACTGGAGAGTTCCTGTAAAACCTTGCGTTCCAGGATGGAGGAGATTCTGACCTTTCTGCTGATGGCTGCAGTCACTGGGCTGGGAAAAGACCCTCACTCCCCTCTCCACCTTTTAGGAGAATGTGGAGGGAAAAGGTAGCCTCAACAGACCTGGGGCAGGCAGGAGACTCAGGAGTGGGTGCACAACCTGGCGGGCGGCCAGGAAGCGCCAGAACATTTTGTGTTCTCTGTCCTGCGCACCTCCCCCACGCCTCCAAGTCCCGGCACCTATTCCTTGCGTTCTTCCTCTGACCCTCGCAGGCACGGAGCCTCCCCGGCGCTGGGGTCGCTCTTCCTAGATTTCCCGACACATCCCCAGCTGCGCGACGCCCTAGAATCTAGCTCCTGGCACCGCCAACCTCCCCAGTCCCAGTTCTGCCATCCACCCCCCTTGAAACTTTCGCATCCTAAGTCTTTCCCATTTCCTTCCCCTTTCCCCTCCCTACCCACTGCCCAGACCGACCCTTCTCTCTACCCACTTCTCCTGCCTCCAGCTGGTCCCGGCTTTCCTAGGCCACCTGGGCATCTCCCGTGCACTCCAGATCCTCGCGACAGACTCGACCCCTTGCCCAGGGCCCGCTCTCCACCGCTAGGCACCTCCCCGCTCTGGGCCTCAGTTTACCTCGGTGCTCAATGGGGGGGGGCCAGCCTAAAGGGGTCCAGGTTGGGGGGCTTCCCCAGGCCGCCGCCCGCCCGCGCCCTGCCGGACTCCGCTCAATCTCACCTGGTCGCCCCGGCCCGGCGGCTTGCAGGGCCCTGCAGGCGGCCGCCTGGACGGCCAGGCTGGAGGCCGGGCAGCCGGGGCAGTAGGCGGCCGCCTGCACCGGGCCCCCCGCCTGGCGGCTGAACACGGCGCGTAGCAGCGCCTCCAGCAGCCGCAGCCCCAGCGCCACCGCGTCCTCGGGCCCGGCCTCGGCCACCAGCACCCCGACCAGCGCCGCGCCGGCCCGCCGCCGGCCGCGCACGTCCCGCAGCATCTCCCGCAGGCGGCGCCGCGGCTCCCGGGCGGCCAGCGACGACGCGCGGCACAGCACGAAGACGAGCGGCGAGCGGATGGCGCGCCCTGCCGCCCCCGGCGCCCTCTGCGCCCCGCGCGCCGCCCCGGGCCCCGCGCCCTCGGCCGCCGCTCCGCCAGGCTTGGCCGCCGCCGGCTCGGGCGGGAACACGGCCCGGGCGAAGTCTCGCAGCAGCGCGCGGCTCTGCTCGCGCTCCCACAGCTCGCCCACCAGCAGCACCTGCCCGCGGCCGCCCGCCGCCTCCACCAGCGCCTGGAAGGGCGGCTCGGCCGGGCGCGCGGGCCGCGCCGCCAGCGCCTCCAGCTCGCGCTCCATGCTCGCCGCCTCCCGCCTCTGCGGCCCCCGCGCACCCGCGGCCTCCTCTCCGGCGGCGGCGCCCGGGTCGGGAGGACACGCCCCCAGGGCCGAGCCGGTCGGACCCCCTGCCCGCGGGCTGCGACTCTCGGTCGCCCTCCGCCAGCTCGTCGGGCGGGGTCTGGGAGGGCGGTTCGGAGAGCCCGCGGGAGACTGAGCGTCACTCACTCATTCATTACTTCATCCACTCGTCCATCTATCCGACAAATACTTAGTGAGCACCTAGTAGGTCCAGGCGCTGGGCAGCCAAGGCTGGGGGAAGACAGACAATTATGCTGTGAACAAAGACACCCTCGCGAGGTAAGGTGTCTTGAAACCTGGAGCAGGCGTTTCTGGAATCCCACATGGTTTGGAGTGGGTGGAAGGTGGCTGCAGAGAAGAGGGCAGAGAGGCGAGAGAAGAGAGGAGAAGCAGGGTAATAGGCGTTATGGCCCCAGCACTCCTTGGGGCCTTCAACGTTTGGCAAAAGCTGGTCCAGGGCCCGCTATTTCCACAAACACTTATTGTGCGCAGGGGACTGCCCTGGGCACTGAGGGCGAAAACCAGGCAGGCAGACAGCCAAGGAGAAAGGCTAGAGGGGTAGATGTGGCTCACAGGGGTGCTCTGGCCTGCGTGGGGGCCGGAGCCGGTCAGGAGCAGGAGTGTACTTCCTTTCTTCCTAGGCGTCTAGGTCAGCCTTGTCCAACAGAACTGTGGAATGTTTTATATTGTCTGCGTTGTCCAATGCTCCAGCCGTGAGCTCCATGTGGCTATTACTGAGCACTTGAAATTTGGCTAGTGCAACTGAGGAACTGAATTTTACTTTTCATTTCATTTGAATTAAATGTAAAAAGCTGTGTGTGGCTCTTTGGACAGGGCTTGCCAAGGCTCTTTGCTCCCCCTTGTATTATGCAGTGCTAGACCAAAGGGCCCTTCGAGTCAAGCACAGGCTAATACCCTCTCCTTCTCCATGTAACCCCAATCCTCTCTCCTAGTAACCCTGCTTCCTGCCCCCTGTAAGTATGCTGAAACATCTCCTCCAGTAGAGTTTTGTGTGTCCCTAAAACAAACCTGTCTTGAGCATCTACTGTGTGCAAGCAGTGAGGACTCAAAGACGCAGCCCTGCCCTAAGTCTAATGGTCCAGCAGTTGTTTTAACCAGCGTTTGGAGGAAGGACCCCATACCTCTGCTGGGGTCCTGACTCATGACTTTTTGCCTCCGCATACTGTCTTTGGGATTCCCTCGGTGCTCAGAGTGGAGATCTGGGGCTGGAATGAGAAGAGCCCTAGATTTGGAGCAAGAAGCCCTGGGCTGGAATCACGGACAGCTGGATTCCAGCACCAGCTCAGTGATTCGCTCATTCAACCTGTATTTATGGAATGTCTGTGACATGCGCTGTGCCCAGTGCTGATGAGACAGCTGTGAACAGGCAGGTTTCTACCTTCATGGAGCTGACATTCTAGTGGGGCCTGGGGGAGAGAGACAATAACCAATCAAACACACAAATAATGACTTCAGATGGTGATCTGAAGCTATGGAAATAACTGGGCAGGGCCTACAAGATGGTAATGTACTTGAGGTGCTGGCCCCTTCCTGTGAATGCAGCCCTGAAGGTGCCTCAGAAGCAGGAGGGAGGTTGATAAGGACTCTGAGAAACTCGGGGGGAACTAGAAGCCCCCTCCGCTCCTCTACCTCAGTGCCACGGGAGGGGGATAAGCTGAGTGAACGTCTTACACTTGTGCATTTTTCTCTGCCCACACTGGCCTCGGTAGATCATCGCCCACCCCTGTCCCTCACTCCATCACTGCCACAGTGCTGGGAGGCAAAAACCACCTGTGCCAGCAGGGATGGCAACATGAGGCTGCAGTTAGAAGCACAGAACAACCAGACCTGGCAGCCCCTTCTCCCCATTTCATGGATCAGGGATTCTAACCACAAGATCCAGCTCATGAAAAGAGCAGTGGCCAGGGAGAGTGTCCAGAAGAGAGTGTGCCACCAGAGGGGGTGGCACATTCGTATTGTAATGCCAGAGGCAGCTCCCACCCCCACCTACATTCCTTGAGCTCCCCGGGAGGAATACGAGATAGAGTCTAGGCTTTAGTCTCTTCCAGATGTACCCATTGCCAGCCAAGGTAGCTGATATCCAGGGAAACATGAAATTCACGGGGAAAAATAATTAGACTTCTGGAAAGTATAAAACTAAGCAAATGTAATGGATACATGAATTAAGATTCATTTCAGCTACTAATAATACAGACTCCACTAATAACAGTGGCATAAACACAATGATAGTTTTTTGTTTTTTCTCTCTTGTAGAAGTTTGGAGTTGGACAGTTATGGCTGAAATAGCAGCTCTGTTTCATTAGGTTTTTGAGGACTTAGGTTTCATTCAAGGACACTGTTGCCCCCTCTCATCTTCGTGATCCAAGTTGGCAGCTAAAGCTCCAGCCACCTCATCTGTATTCCAAGCAGCTAGATAGTAGAAAGACTGAGGATGGAAAAAAAAAATCAGCTGGACTTCAGATTTCTTAATAGCAACACCAGGTTTAAGAAAATAGTTAAATAATGATTTTCAAATATCAAAGAAAAAAAACTTTGAACCTGGATTTGGATTTCTAGCTAAATTATCAGGTATATAAAAAATCAGAAGGCTTATCACATATAACCCCTCTTCAAAAACAGTATTAGAAGAAATACTCTATAAAGAAGATAAATAAATCTAGGAGTACTGAACAATAGCAAGTAGGAGGGATTAAATCACTCGTGTAAATAAAGGCACAGTGCCCAGCCGGCATGGCCAGCTCACGCCTGTACTCCCAGCACTTTGGGAGGCTGAGGTGGGAGGATCGCTTGAGGCCAAGAGTTTGAGACCAGCCTAACATAGTGAGACCCCACCTCTACAAAAAAATTTAAAAAATTAGCCATGCATCGTGGTGCACACCTGTAGTCCCAGCTATTCGGGAGGCTGAAGCAGGAGGACCGCTTGAGCCCAGGAGTTTGAGGTTGCAGTGAGCTATGATGATGCCAGTGCACTGTAGCCCAGGTGACAGAGTGAGATTTTGTCTCATAATAATAATAATAATAACAATGATGATGGTACAGTGCCACATACAGCCTGAGTGGGCATAAGCTGGAAGGGTGGCAGAGCCACGGGCGAGTCCTATCAGGTGACCAGAAAGGCAATTGACTTCAACTAGGTTCCCTCTGAGGAAGAGGGGAAGATAGCAGCAGACGGAAGAACTATCAGATGCGCTGGTATTTTTAGCACTTTCTTACGAGGCTTGCTTAAAACCAGCATGCTCTGCCTCTTCAGCTATTCATTCTCAGGTTCTAAATCTCCAGGTAATAAATTCCAAATTTTCTAGGGGTGGGATGGAGCATGGATCAGAGGGGGTGAAATGTTAAACAAAGGTTGGAGTCCAGGGCCAGTGAAGTTTATCTTCATCTGTGTTATTTACACAGCGAACGTTCTGGTGTTCAATTAACAGAAAACTGCGAAGACCTTAAAAAAAAAAGGCAGGATGCCAAGAATATTTCTTCCTCCTCTCCATCCACACCCTAGAAAATATCATAAAACTAAGGGGCTGCTTCTTTTATTTTTATTTTTGAGACAGAATCTCTCTCTGTCACCCTGGGTAGAGTGAAGTGGCATCATCACAGCTCACTGCAACCTCAAACTCCTGGGCTTAAGCAATCCTCCTGCCTCAGCCTCCCGAGTAGCTGAGGCTACAGGCGGGCACCACAGCTCCTGGCTAAGTTTTCTATTATTAGTAGAGATGGGGGTCTCACTCTTGCTCAGGCTGGTCTTGAACTCCTAGCATTAAGCTATCTTCTTTCTCTTCTCCGCTAAGACAGTTGTTTTGGAGGCTACACAGAAGGTGGGATGTGGGGAAACTTTATGGACTTCCTGGGGAGCCAGGTGGAGAGAGGAAGATCTTTAATGTGAGGAAGCCACAGAGGGAAAGGAAACTGGGGAGCCCACAGGACCCACAGAGTAATGAGGCAGAGGTGGGAAGAGGGGGTGAAATTTTAAAACTGGGTCTGACAAGGAGCTGTGGTTCCCACAGAGCAGCAGCCCTGCTCACCGCTGTGCTAGGACTTTATTTCCGGCTCTACCTGGCCAGAACCGCTTCCTGTCAGGGCGCCAGAATGCAGATCTCTGTGCTAGCTGGTGTTCACATGGGGGTCAAGTGTTTTACTTGCACTTTAGAAGTCTGATAAGGTTTGTTAAGAGAGCTGGAAGAAACGCTGTGAGATAGAGGCCTGGCTTCAGCCCCTAGGGCACCCCTGCTGGGCCCAGGACTAGCCAGTGGGGCCAGGAGGAGAGGGGGCAGCCCCCCCACCATACACCTGCTGGAGAGGGAGCCAGAGCAGGGCAACCCTATGTCAGCAGCACACAGCCAGGGAGAGGGTATCTGCACCTGTTGCCCTGGCAGCCACAGCCACAGGTGACTTTATGGGGATTTGTCAGTATCTGAGGCTTTGGCAGGGGTTGGAGGAGAACAGCAGCTTACCTGTGGAGCAAGGACATATGGTGACATCAAATCACTCAACTTGGGCCTCCTTTAAAATCTACATGGCCGGGCCAAGTTGGAGCTTGAGCATAAGCCTCCTGAGATCCACCCTTCCCAGAGAATGGCCCTGGTCAAAATGGCCGGGAAGTGGCCATGGTCTCTAAGAGCTGAATGGCGCTCTGTGTGGCCTTTCCCCGCCCCAGGACAGGAGTGTACCAACTCATCTGAGTTGGTCAGGCCCCTCGAGGTTAGAATTGATCAAAAGGCAATTATCACAGGAGGCAATCCCATTCTTCATGCAAGGCTCGGAGCAGGCACCCCTTTACAGAATATCAAATACAATGTGAGCTGTGTCTATGGGGGGAAAATATGGCCCCGTGCTCACCACGGACACCCTGTCCCATACCCATATGTTGAGAACTAGGAAGTGTGCAGGGGAGTGGGTATGGACAGTGGGTGATTTCATGA